AAGAACCCCCCCCCCCCCCCCCCCCCCCCTCGCTAGGTTACACATGGTGCATGCCTACAGTGCACAGGCCATATAGGCCCGACCCCTCCTGGTTTTCGCAGCTGGCCTCAGACCAGAGTCTCAGCGGTGATACATTTGTTGGTGGTGTTCTTGCGTCTCTGTCGGTGTTGCTTATCCTGGTTTGACTCGCGCGCGCGCGCGATTTCCGCTTTTTTGTGCATGCCTTTTCGCGTGGAAACCCCGGGGTTGGGGAGCAAGATCTCCTACTAGTATAGGGCACAAACGCTTGTGTAGCACGGCCATCTGCTATCGGAGCACGACCCAACCAGTGTGACCAATAGCACGCTATTTTTCTTCTTCCTCAGAAGCAAATAGATCATCAATCGGTGCCCTGTAGATGTCGTTCTGATCCCAAGGTGCGGTTTTTCGGCTTCTCCGTAATCAAGTTTTTGGGCCCCTGTATCGCGCGGCGCAACTTTGGCCGATATATTGAGCCTTTTTTTCCTTCCTGGGGACGAAGGGAAAAGGTCGCGCTTCGCGCTTCGCGGCTCATTATAAATAGTGCAGACATGAGCATCGGTCGTCGACAAGAAAAGCGGGTAGGCACGTGGTTGTTAGCCTTTCCGGCGGTTTTGCGGCACTGCTCGGCGTAGATATTTCAGTCGATCTTCGCGGTGTTGTTTAGTTTCCTCTTCTGCATGTTTTTTTCGGATCTTCCAGCATCGAGCCGTTATCTGGTTCCTCAACGTAAAAAGTAGCATCTCCAAGCCTTCGTCACCCTCACATACAGGTACCCATGCGTTCTCATCATACACTACGCTGTGCCTCGCCTTTCCACTCTCACCCGCGCACGGGAACAAATTCTTATCAGCTTTCTAACTTCGCCGTCTTGTTATTGTTGTCCTTTTCACCGTCGTCCACTACTTTCGCTTTCGATTCGGGCCCCCGCACCCCCAGTGGACGCGGGGGCCGTTCAGTACCCTATTTAGTACACAGTACTGGTGGAAAGTCATCTATTTTTTCGACAAGCGACACGCAAGTAGATGTCCGCCCTTTAGCTTCTCCTCCCACTTATCGTTCCCGTCGTGTTTCGATGCCATGTTTGACTCGCGCGTTCGAACGCAGATCTGGAGGCAGTTCCAAGAAACGTCGTCGACAGCACTAGGTTGTTTCGTTGTTCGATTACGCATCTGGGCTCTCCTGACTAGACGTCGATGTCTGTGTGAGGGGGGCGTGGTGATGGTGGGACTGCTCAATTGGGAGATTGGTGCACATCCACGGGTTTCTCGGACAGTGACAACAAGTGGGTGAGGGTGCCTGGTGTTTGTGCCCGTCCTATGCTTTCGACCGACAGCGGTGGTTGTGCCACTTGCAGGCTTCGCTGGAGGGCTAAATATTCGCTCATGCAACGGGTGGAGGTGAATCACTTTCACTGTACAATAGTCCGTTAGGGACCGATTGCAGTTTGCTGGTGAATGGAGTGGTGTTGATGGTTGGAACGTTGAGATCTCGTTCGGGGTTCGTGTTGTGATGATTTTTTTTTTCGGTTATCACCTTAAATCAGCGCCCACAGCATGTTTGCAGTGTATGAGCCCCACTCTGTGGTCATATGTTTAGGAAAAGAGTTCGCTGTTCGTGAGGTGGATGATGCCATCCTTACGAAGGCTACTACTGTGTGGTTTTGAGCTATGTAAGTGCGCATGTACATGGCCGTCCATCGGTCATTTGGATCTTCGGGGTATCTTCGGTAGTGGTATCTTTGGCAAGTTGTCACGCGTTCCGTGCTGTCATGTGTTCCAAGTTCCGAATGTGTCTTGCGACTGTTGCTCGCGTGCCTCGGTGTTTGTGATGCACCCTGGTGCCCACTCTCTTCCGTTGCTTGTGCCTACGAGGACGACCGATAGAACGACTTTCCCATCTCTTCAGGTAGTCAACCCGGACAGCCATGCTCATCCAGCAGCACTCGGCTTGGGGCCAATCAACATGCACTGCTCTGGCATCTGCTTGTGTCCGTACTTCTTCATTCGATCTATCAATGCCGGTGCCTTTTCATTTTGTCTGGTGGTTGAGCCTCGCCGCTTACAAAGCAACTTGTCCCATAATCAGCACGTACCCCGTTCGAAGGCTTCTCCGGGAGCCACTAACTTCCCTTCCTTCAGCCTCGGTGGGTATTTCAAGTCGTCTGACTCACGTGCGGTTTATTACATAGCTTGGTTTTTGGCCGCTTTCGAGCCTGAGCATGATCGGTTTTGGTGCAGGAGTAGCGGCACACCCACGGCTACCCGGTATAGACTATTGCTGACGTAGATTTAACATGATCATGACTGCCTAATTAGGTTGCAGCTCAATACATGGCGAGAGAAGTCGACAGCGGCGTTGGCATGTCCTCTGCAGAAAGTTTAAGAAATACATCCAAACCCTTTACTTTAAGTATGACATACTGTTAACTCAGAGTGTACCATCAACCAAAAACAGTACATGCACTGCTGTAGTCTAGTCTAGACTTCCCGTCTACAGAAAGATTATTAGTTCCCACATTTGCTACTTTTTCTAGATACTGGTGCAGATTTGGGCTTAGGGCGCTTGCGCGACCTTGAGGATAGTATCAGCCACCACCTTGTTATGTTACTACTCTGCCTCCACCGCTTACGCCTCCCACACCCACATTAACCCCGTCTATCATCAGCTGCGATGCTGCGATCTCTCCAAAGTGATGAAATGCGGCGAGATATCTGCCGATTCGGGAGAAACCGACAGTCCCGGGTCCGAGCACAAGAGGACGACGCCTGAGGACTTGCGGACTTACACAGCAGACACAGCAATGTAAACCTACAGCTCTCTCTCTCTCTCTCTCTCTCTCTCTCTCTCTCCTCTCTCTCCCCGTGGCTTGGCTTGGCTGGTGTGGTTGATGTGTATGGTGAAATGCAGGCAGTACTTGCTACGGGAGAAGCTGTTCCTGTTCGCTGTACATCAGCACGCATTGCGTGAAAAATCAGAAGCGTTCAGGTTTTGTCACGTGTTGTGACAACGATCAAGTCATCTATACCCTAAGCAAGAAATACTTCGCTGCTTGATGCTATGGAAGAGTATCGTCCAGAAGTCAGGGTCCACCCTCCTGAGCATGAGGAAGTGATTCGAGAGCTCGACCGAGACACGAAGCACGTCGGCCGGCCGACGCTATCTCCACGACGGCCGACGTGGACAGCAGATCCTTTCCATTTCCCTACCGATGCCAGGTGTGTGACGAAGGCCTCCACCTATCGATTTCCGAGCACAGTGGTGGTTCCACATCATGATTTAACCAGGGCAACGGTCCTCGCTATTGAATCCTCAATATTGGTAGTCGTAATTTTACTTGTCATGATTAGTCTAACCATATCCGTATGTGCTGTTGTTAATGCAGATGGCTGCCATTGTTGTTGCCCCCACATGAACGAAATTTCCTTACCTTCGCCAACCTCTACCACGTACGTCCATCTCTGTACATTTCATTGGGACGAAATCAAGACAACTAGGATTACCTGCCAGAGACAGCAGTCCTCATCAAGGGACATGTATTGAGGAACATACACTTTCCAGTGGACTCGGTGGGTGCTGTAGGACACGCCACTCTGTTAGAAAAACTACATGTAGACTATGCAGGCTAGCCATTACTCCAGAAGCGAGTTACAATACTTGAGAACCAGAGAGGTCCTCCACTTTCTTGTGAAAAAAACGACATGGAGCTATATGGAATTACTGGGGCGCGTGAAAAAACTGTCTACCTAGGACGGAGTAAGCGATTTGGGAAGGTGTAGAATCAAAATATCCTTCCCCACATCTTCAATACGCGGAAGGGGGTTGGTTGACCCGCGCTTTCAGGGGCACAAAGTTGCGAGTCACTCGACGTGCCCGGTGTCTCAAGTCAGCAGGCCCTCCCAATTCTCAGCAAGTTCAAGTTACCAACGATAAAAGCGAGGGAACCTTCTACAACGCCAATGCTCTGTGTAACATGGGTACCGAAGTTAGGCGAATGCCCCTGCAGAACGTGGGGAGATCAGATTTGCTATTCAAAGAAACATTGGAGCTGTATATTTTAGAGCAGGCGATCCGCGAATGAACCCCTCGCAAGGACGAACAAGGCACAGGCGGGGACCTACAAACGAGGCAGGTATCAGAGTGGTGACACCAACACGGATAATCATAAGGAGCAGTCGCATCCCAAACTACTTTTTTCATGGACTTCCCGCCCCTCCGCTCCACCGTTCTTGTCTCCCTCTGAAGCTACTTCGAAGCCCCCATTGACAGCGTACAGTCCGCCTGTCTCCCCTTTGGTTTAGTCCTGGTGACATGAACCTCCCCGCCTCCCCACGAACCGCTGGGTCATGGCATGCCGGCGTTCTTGTTCGCAGCAGATGTCCAGACGAGCCTGTCGAATATCGATGGGCAGGGAGAGCCTTTGGCAGCATCCAAAGCCAGATTACTGTCCATGAAGTATTCCCACCAGTGTTTCGTCCACCAGCCGGCACCCTTTTGCTCCCGCTCTCTTACGCGCTTTCCGAATGACAGCCGTGCCAAGAGCCATTCGATTCTCAGGCCAAACCACCGCGAACGAACGCAAGAGACTCGCGCAACTCTCACTCGCGCGCTGCCGTATACTTTGTGATTGTTCCATGCTGTTGGGCGCCTGCTGGTGGGAAACGACCGTCGCTTCTGGCAGGAAACACAGCCGTGCCAGGAGCCATTTGACTCTCAGGCCAAACCACCGCGAACGAACGCAGAAGACTCGCGCAACCCTCACTCGCGCGCTGCCGTATACTTTGTGATTGTTCCATGCTGTTGGGCGTCTGCTGGTGGGGCATGACCGTCGCTTCTGGCAGGAAATGGTTAGAGGAGGGCGAGCGAGCCGCCCTCGTTGAGGCTTGTCGGAAAGTCGACCCAGGGCAGAAGGGGAGGATACCTATATCGGCGATGGGCAAGGTGCTGGGTGATGTGGGCTTTGAGGTGAGGCCCGTTCCACTTTCGCGGACAACCGTCAACGCGTGATGCGATGACCTCCGATGACCTCTCACTGGCTCGCTTTTTCTAAGCACAATCCATGAACCGCACGGGCGATAGTCTGCAGCGACCCACGTATGCCGTAGCCTAGAAGTACGGTCCACCTCGCTATCGTTCGCGCGGAATCCCCCGCCTGGCCAACCAACGATCGTGGCTCTGTGGGCATTTCCTCAGAGTCTGGTGGCGAGGGCGGAGCGCACCCTTGTTCGAGAGAGGGAGCCGAGCCGATTCGGAGACGGAGACGAGACGGTGGCATTCTCGTCCCTTGTGGGCCTCGTAGCCGAAAGGTGTGTGTGCGTGTATGTGTTGACGTGCAGGTTTGTACGTGCCAACCCACGGGCATGACTATGTAGACCAGACCAGTCCCGAAACAAGGTACGACATGCCGGTAAAAGGTACTCGTGTGAGCCTTCGCCACGCGATTCTCTGCAGGTGGGAAGATGGACGCCTCAACTTGGGTGCCAAGGGCACAGCAAGTTATTTGCACGGTTGGGTGTGTTCTCAAGGCGGCCTTTAATCATCCTGTGCTTGAGGTTGGTGGACCAAGAGGAAAATCTCTCCGCCAAGAGAAGTTGGAACGGATATTTTTTGCGTTTGCCGACAGAGGTGCAATTTCGAGAGGTGGGATAGCGCAGTGCCTGCGCTCGTCGTCCCGTCCACCCATAGATGGGATGGTGCGTATGTGTGTTGCGTTGATTTGTAAATCACTGCTGCCTGTGAAAACGGCTTCATTGCTTGCAGGGAAAAACGAAGTTCCTGGAGAGGGTCAAATTTGAAGGAACTGGGTGGCACCCAGCATTCCAAACACATCTCTGGGAATCTTTGGCCATAGGTTCGCACCATAGCGTTGTCACGCATGCCCTTCCCAAAGCTCAAGATGCCATTGGCACAAAGAATAGAGGGCAAGAAAAGGGTAATGCTCAGCCTAAGCCAATGTATCGCGTTCGCTCTTTCTTTCAAACTGAAATCGAATGCTGCCCAGATCCAGGAGCCATCTTATCGACAGCCAAAGTCGACAGTGAACGACATCAAAATGTTCACGTGTACCGTGCATGTGAATGCCTCTTGCAGAAGATTGTGAGTTGTACACGGAGCGAGGCGTTGACGTAGGCAACAGCTTCTGTTTGCATTCATCTCTAGTCCTCGATTCGAACGCTTCCCTCGTCGCGCCACCTGCGCCCTGTACCATACGCGACAGCAGTTACCGCCTCTTCGTGCACGTATAGATGCAAAGGGCACCAGGGGGGTGAAGCTGATGATTGGTACAGATGACTGATGCCGTCCGTCATCACAATCAGAACATAAATTTTCCGACACGCAATACACGCAAAGCCCCGCCGCTTCTCTCTCCGTATTCCCTCAAATACACCTCTGCGAAAACCAAAAAACAGCTTCCGACTCGTGAGGCAACCTTTCGGTGGCAAGCGGTGCATCGTGAGCCGCTTGCCACTGCCTGCCTGCTGCGAAAACGGGTACTGCATCGCACACCTGGAGAAGCCCTCTAGCGCCGCGCTCTCCGGCAGGGGGGGCGTGTCGGACGAGAACCTGAAAAGGACCGCGCTCAAGATGATCTTCGCGCAGCACGACACGGACGGATCCGGTACTTCCGCAGTTGTTGCTGGACATCTTGTTGTGTGCCGCTTGGAGTTGTGTTTTTTCTCATGGGCGACGAAAAAGAAGGTGTTTTGCCCTGTCTTGAAGTGCGCGCGCAAGCCCCTCGGTTGTCGGAAACCGTTCTCAAATATAGGCGCACAACGACAATATCAACGATATGTCAACAGCAACAACAACAGCAACAACAACAACCACGTCTACCACGAAATGCCGACCGACTGGACCGGGACAGGAGCATTGGAGATGGAGGAACTGCCCAAGATCCTGGCGGAGTTTGACGTTGAGTACGACGAAAAACGTCTGCCAGACATGTTCGCCATCTACGACGTCGACGAGTGAGAACTATTCTGTGTCTTTGATGTTGGGGTCGGGTTTGAACGAGCTTCCCTTTTGGGCGATATTGGCGGGGTGATAAGCAGAGGGGCGCCAACAAGCAGAAGGTTTCTCGTTGGCGTTGTGGGCGGTAAGTTTGTTCGATCTCGAGGAATTTAGTGTACCTTTTCTACACGGTGTGGGTGCACTTTACAGCGTTTCCTTCTTATCTTCAGGTTTTCGTTGGAGCTTGTCCAAGCTTGAGCTTTCACGCGTCAGCTGATTTGAGCCCTTTCGTCGGGTGCAAGACCAGCATGCACGCCAACAACAGAACCCACACCGCCTTCTTGCCCACAGCTCTGGCGCCCTCGACTTCGAGGAGTTCAGCGCCTTGCTAAAGGACATGAAGGCCGACAATGCGGTAGCGGAGAAAAAGATGAACGCCTACCGCCTGCCCCCGACCCTCCTGAAGGAGTTCAGCCCGGAGGCCATCGAGGAGATGAGGGTGACGTTCGCCCGTTTCGACGAGTCCGGGGATGGAGCTCTCGACGAGGAGGAGCTGGGAGCCCTGCTGAGGACGTTCGGGCAAGAGCCCACCAAGGACAAGGTGCTGAATATATACGTAGTACATTAAACAAAGTATATGCTATACAAGGTAAATACTACACAAAGTATGCACTATACGAAGTATACATTACATGCATGGGGTTGCTGTGGATTTTCGGTAGTCTTTCGACTACGTGCTGCGGTTACCGTTCGAGTCCACCGAGCTGAGCTCAGAAAGGTGACACTCGGACGATACAGCATTGGTGGGTTCGGGCAAGACGGAGGGATCGCGAAAAGCGAAACGATACGATAGCGCTGGGAATCGCTACTTTCTCCCCGATTTGACGTTGCCAACTCTGAATCGCGTGGGGCGTGCTTGCAAGGGAAGGTAGGCGTCTGTGGCAACAGGTGCGTTGCGATGTTTGGCACCGGCAACGAGGAGTCAGGGCACGCCAAGGAGCCGTCGGCAAGAACCCCATGACCGAGGCAATTCGTTTCAGTAGCGATAACTATCATCCGGACTAAATCTTTTTGTAAAACGTGCCATACCACTGTAAGCGAGCCGTTCGGAGGAAGATCAATGGCATTAGGTCATGGCGCAGGACTGTGTGCTGTTCCTCGGTCGATCAGGGGCCACAGAACCTTGCTCAGGACTTCGGGGAAAAGCCCTGTCGAGAAAAAGGGTGGTACTCAACAAGGGCCGTTTCGAGCAGACTACATGAGCATCCATCGCTTCCACTCACCCTCTTGGACAGTTTCCAATTATCCTGCGAAGCTGGAACCCGGTTTTTGGGTCCGGAAGTGTTCGGGAAGCTAAAAAAATGTGGAAGCTAGAAGAGTTGGAACGGGAGCCAGGAAGTAACGTTGGAAGAGTTGGAACGGGAGGCGTGGCCTACACAAAAACGGCGTTCCAATGCCCATCTCGCTCATGTCATGAATGTGGAGCACACGGAAGGGAACGGAAGAAAAGCCACCTTGTGGAGATGACTTGTGCGTTGCGATAGATATCTGGGGGCGCTCGATCAGGATATTGAGAGTAAGATGCCGACGACGGCATAGGGTATGCATGTGATCGAAGGAGCAGCGATGGTTGCGTGAGGTTCTATTGTGGCGTCTACTTGGAACGATGGTGCCAGTAACGGAAGGCTGCAGTATCCTTCGCAATTCATGTCCAACGAGCTTGCACGGCATTCTAGGCGAACAGAATGAAGAACTTGGGGGGGGGTCTTACCAGGACGATTAGCTTATTCTGCAAGCTTGTCATGACTTCTTATTTCCACAACGAATTGTTGGATGGGGGTTCGGACGTGACGAGCGCGAAGACACCAACGCGACCACATTTTGTCACCAAAATCTTTTGTCGCTCTCCCTTGTTAGTGCCGTCATTGTTTCCCGTCAAATGCACTCTCTCCACATGAAAGGGGTTTCGGGGAGCTGTCGTTACATCCCGGACGCTGAACGAGCAGATCAGCCTCTTATCTGCTACAGTTTTATTCTCAACGACAGACAACCACAACTTGCTTGATATTACTTTATTTTTCGCTTGTGTGACTCTCGCCAGATCCACAAAGAGATGCTGGAGGTTGACTACGATCGGTCCGGGACGATCGAGTTCAAGGAGTTTGTCACCCTCATGAAAAAGGTAAGCTGAAAGAGCTAGAATAAACGTGAAAATAATTTCTCTAGCCACCGTTGCTTTGTCGCCATTGCCATGTCGTTAGAATCTCCTCGAGTTTTGAAAAGAGAATCCCCCGTGGTATCGTACGGCCTCAATTGTGACCATGGGTTGGATTTTGGCCGCGAGCTTCTCCGAGAAAAAACACCAAGAGATGACACTACGTCCCCAATATCCTCGGATAACCAAAAAAACTTAGTCTGATCTAAAATTTGATTGCAGTGAAATGCATCTGTCCGTGCGTTTTGCCGAACTCGAGATAACTTGAGCACAAGCTTATAGCTGTTGTGTCTCGTACTACATGCCGTGTTTTTTTTGACACGTCTCGCGAAAAGTAAGCATGATTGGCAATCCACAAACAAGCCTTGAACGAGATATCACGTCGCGCTCAAATGGATTCATCAAGGTTCTTCCTTCTGATGCTGATACTTTTGGAGTCGTAAGATTCCCATTGTCGGAGCTCGTGGACAACGGCGATTCGCCTTCGATTCCCACAAAGCACACTCATCATACCGCTTGCACCGTTTTTCTCTCATATGACACGCACGGACACACTCCCTTAATGATACATCGACCAGTTCCCCCATGCTACATTACCGGAAGGGTCAAGCATAGCATCGGTGGCAAATAGTCTACACTACTGAAGCCGCCGCGCCTTGGAAACTCTTTCGAACCCTCCTTTCTCGCTACCTGTCCCGTCTCTCTCCCCACAGGTTCGGGACGGAGAAGTTGAGCTCGACGACAGCGCCTTCGGCCGAGCGATCATGAACTCGACCGTGGCATCGCGCCTCAGCGAGGAGCTGCGCAGATTGGACGCCAACCCCATCCCCTGCCTACAATCGGCAAAGGTGCGTTTGCATTAGAATCGCTGCAGTAGCAACTTGGTTTGTGTTATCTTGTGAAATTCCGTGGTAGCGGACGATGTTCGATTCGGTGAGTGGCTTGGAATATGGACGTGTAACCAAGCTTCACCACCAACAGGTAGGCGTGTCGTGGCTTAGCTGCTCATCCCAACCGTTGGTGCCGTGGGTCGAAATCCTACTTGCAACAAACCCGCGGATTCATTCGCGTTCCTAAATTAGACAGCAAAACCTTGACGGCGAGAAAGCAGCTTATTTTCCACAGAAAAGGAAAGGAGATGTTGTGAACACGAGCCTCGCCTGAAACACTACCGGGAAGTCTCCTCCATACAGAAGGATCTGGCCTCGCAACCCCGTGGGATTAGTTGCAAAGCTCGTGAAACTCGCTCATGCAGAGTGTTCCCATGGTCGGCCCTACATCTATTTGCCCTCTACCGTAGATGTGAAGGTGTGTTTGTGCACGATTCACCAACACCCAAGCGCGATGGTGGGAGACCCGGTGGCTTTCCCCGGTGAGTCCCGCGACCCCGGTGACCCCGACAAGAACAGGTTGATCCACACAGCAGTTCTTCCAGCACCTTAACCTCGCTACTCGCTCGTTTTGTATGATCCGCGCTCCCATGCCATGCCTTGACATTATCGCGTCAATGGAACGAAAGCTGATCAAGTCCTCCCCGGCGACCGTCCGGGCAAAGATTGCCTGTCCCACTGGAAGTCCTTACGAGGGATACACGTTGACAATGGAGCTCGTGGCGTCGGACGGCTACCCTTTCATGCCCCCCGTTGCCAAATTCTTAAAAAGAGTGAGTTCTTCATGGCCAAACGACTCTTGCTATCGTCCAGATCAGCACCCGTCCCAAACATGAGCTGCCTGAGCGAAGTCATTCACGGTATGGTACGATACGGAACGCTACGGAGAATAAACTTTGGAAGATGTTCCAGCTCAGCGTTTCTCTGCGAGACATTCTACCACGTCGGTACGCCGCGCTCGATTGCAAAAGTTCAAGGTGGTAGAGACGATATTCATACGACATATTTCGTTCTGTCTTCCGCGGTAGCGCAAATGGACCACAATTGATATCGCATCCCTAAAGAAACGAGGCGAACAAGGACGACGTTCGAAAAGTCATCAGTCCTCGGGTAAGTCTAGAGAGAAGCACAAGTAGAAACCGGCACGGGTGCAGTAGGAACGCCTGAGGCGGGTGAACTCGTTCGTCTTCTACATAGCCCTGGAAATCTTCTCTTATGCCTCGAGGTATTCTTCAGCCTCCCCACCGTGCATTAGCGTCTTTTTTTATTACTACATTGCGATTGGAAGGACGGACGAACACGCAAGCGATGTCGACATGATGCTCTTGTGTAAAGCCGGCGAGTCTACTAGACTACCGCGTGGTTTGCGAAAAATCCGTCTTTGCGCTTCATGGTAGATACGTTTTCGTTCGGTGTGTCTGCAGGTTTTCCACCTGAACTTTAGCGTCCTCCTGGATGGCACGACCGCGGTGCGGTCCGTGTTGGACCAGTGGACAGCAGAGTGGAACGTCGCGAAGTTCTTGCGCGAGGTGAGCTGAAGAAGGACCAGCAAGTAATGCCAAGTTCGGTCTCTTGTAGTGATGCACAGAGTTAGCGGGGGGCGTACATCGACCCGATGTCTGTCGAGAACAGTTCCCTCTTCTCACAATTTACGTTTTGTGGTTTTGCGGGAGAGATATCGGCGACAACCACACCGGTATCTGTTATACATTCATGGCAATGCCACCTAGGGAGTACACACGACACGAGGGGTCAACCATCCCCGGTATTTGTCGTACCCGTTCCCCCCCCAAAATGCGAAACTCTCCAAAGAAAGTAAACATGCTGCAGTTCCAATTACGATTAAAGGACTGCGGTGGAGACATCAAGGGTGCCTGAGCGTGAGCGGCGTTTCTACGGGTAGCACAATGAGAAAGGCCTTCGTCGCCTCGAAAGAGATGCGCGGTGAACGGTCAACGATGACGACGACGAACGAGCCAACACCCTTCCCCTCCAGCCGGTCCTCTCGAACCTCCGTCATTCCGCGTGGTAGGTTATCCGACTCCTAAGGGACCCGGATCCTTCCCTGCTACCAGATAGCATCAGAAGGGGTGCTTCTAAAACTGCGGCTGCAGCAGAACGGCTTCAGGCTCCATCGAACGCCAGTCGTCGTTCCCCAAAAGTAGAAAAAAAATCCCAGGGAGGCGGCTTCGGAGAAGGAGAAGAGAAAGACCAGGGAAGCGACGAAAGACACCATGAAGGAACGGGACGACATTGGAGAGAGAGGGAAGGATGGGCCGGCGTAAACGAAGGGAGATGCCATCATAGTAGCATCGTTGAAGGCCGCCACCCCGCCGTGCCGCCGGAAGGAAAAGTGCGAGGAGGAGCCGGTGGAGTGGGTCCGCAGGGCGCATTTGGCAGCGTTGCTTCTTGTGACACCACTAACATCACCAGGAACAACAGAGGAGGAAGAGGAGCAGGTGAAGGTGTACTTCCAGAGCACGAAATGCCTTCCCCAAACCGTGCAGGAAGGGAGAATAAAAGGCACGAGAGGGGCGACGATCTTCGAGAAACCAAGTGGGGAGATCTGGTGAGTGTGGGAAAATATAGATGGCTCCGTACGCCAGGTGTGGTTGCTGTGTGAGAAGATACGCCGCTGGGTGGTTGCGATGAAGTTGACGACAGCATGGAAAACCTACTGTACAATGATTACGACAAATCTTCGATTTCGCAGATGTCGGTCCGGGTGGCGAGCTTGTGGTACGACAACCGCCCTCTGTACGAGCAGACGGCGCGACGAATCGCGGCGACGCAAGCGGAAGGGAATCGGTCATGACAAAAAAGGGAAACGAACGATACAAGGGGTTGAGAGCGGCAGCGGAAGGCTATCAGCAACAACAACAACGAACGCCTGCCCCGCTGTCATCATAAGCACTAGCAGCATCATCATCGACGGTAGCTGTGCCAGCAGAAGCTGCACGCACCGCACCTTGCGCATGTCATAGCAGGGGTCAAAGGGCGCAATCAAGGAGAGAGGCAGCATCTGCTACTCGATTCGTGTTTCCTGGCAGCTGAAACAACGCATCCTCGTCCGAATCGACAACGGCTGCGAACAGACGAATGGTCAATGGTTTACCTTGCCGAACGGCGTATTGGTCGTGCAACTATAGCATTATCTGTTTTGGCGAAATTTTCCACATGATTTCATGGCCATTGAAGCTTTCCATGGACGCCGTCATGGGAAGCATGGAAGCTGACATGGACACCCACATGCTTTCACGAGATTCTACGACAGCTTATTCCTGAAAGCTTTCATGATTTCCATCAAGTATTGGACAGGTGGAAATGCCAACGCGTGGTGTCGTTGGGTCCACTCCCTTCTCGGTAATCTCTCCTACGTGGGTGAAGGCCGATTTGCCGCGAAGTCTGACGTTCACCAGGGGGTACACAGATCCAACGAACCGAAACAGGGGCGGGCACGACGAGGGGGCCGTGGCTATGCAGCCGCCATTGTATTTGAACATGACCATTGACGAGCCGACAAGAAATTCAACTTTACCCGGCCCCTACTCCTTTACTACCAAACATTCCAACACCGCCCTGTCGTCAAAACTGTACCTTGCAACAACACCATTTCCGGCGTACCTACGGCTACACATGCGGAACACATAATTTGCACACTCGCGGGCTGTTTGTTGCATAACGACCAGCCGCAGCGTTGTCTGATCCACACTATAACTACTACCACATCAAACCGGAGGCATTGAAAGCAGGTCTTTACGCCATATGTGCGCCTCGACCTTGGGCGTTCTAACCCAAGGTGATGCCGCACGTATCAGCCCCCGCGGCGCCGTCCCATTGAAGCGAATATCGTACTGAACCCTGTCTGAGCAGCGTGGAAGATGTTTCCCTTCCAAGTTGTAGGGTTGGAAGCGCAATTGCTGAAGACCGTTCCCAAACATGTTCTCCCTGATTAATCCCCGAAATCCATCCCGGCCTTTGTAAGTTGAGGGAGATACCGCGCTGTACGCACTGCAACGCTCTGAGTTGTCGCACGACATTGAAAAAGGAAGAGAAACATCTACAAGGGTAACAGTGCTTTTACTCTGTACTCACAAGACCAACCCAGGGCAATCGCCTACTACAGTAGAACGCGGCCGGTCGTTTCGCCGCTTTTCACCTGTCTGACATTGTCGAGATTCTCTCGGTGATTTATTAGCCGCGACGACAAGCAAGTTCACGCCAGCGAGCAATTGGCAACAGGTCGCCCGGACACAGCGGACAGAACGAAATAACGTGAGGAGGAGAGGCTCTGACGTCATTCCAACCCCCCCGGACGTCAACGCAACTCTGTTGATCCTGACGTGAAGGGGCCTTTGTGATTATTACGTCTGTCATGCGCCGGAGACCGGCAGCTCTTGCTCGTCCTTGGTGCGAACGCGGTAGACGACGAAGCACCGGGACGCCGCCACCACCGCCGCCAGCACGATGGGCACACCCCACATGATGCCCACGTAGGTAGCACCGACCTCGCCCTCCCAGATGACGACGCCCGAAGACCATGACAGGCACCAGACCGTTCCGAGCGCAATGCCCATGAGGCCGGCCGCGTTGTTCAACTGTCCTCGTGAATTTGTCCGGCCGACTAAGCCAATGCCGTAGCAGATCATAAGCACGCCCAGGAGCCCTTTCCCGCCGCCAACGCCGATGGACACTCCGAGGTCACACCAGCTGCGCCCGCACTGCTGCACGTGGACAGGTCAAGCTCTTCTCTCAAGGGGGGGAGGCGGTAGAGGCTAGTTTGTCGCCAACAGAATCGTCGGTGACGCGAAAGGGAATGTGGGTGGTTTGGGTTAGGGAAGCAAAACCAACGCTGCGAGGGAGCAACAAGCACACGCATTGCATCGAATATTATCGGAATATGTGGGGAATGAGGATGCACCGATGACGTACGGTAGGCAAGTGCGTTAGGGGGGGGCGGTGCGTAGTCGGGGGAATCTATATAACCCACAAAGGAGGCCGTTGTGGAAGGTGGAGAACAGGAAGGGGATGACCCAGCAACGGCTTCATGATCTCGACGAAGTTTTCGGGTACAGTATCGGTCCGCATGAAGTGGCCGTTGTTGGTTATGTCACGGAGAACCACTCCTTTTCACTACCCCCAAAACTTTCGCATCTTCACACTCCCAGAAGGAGCAGACGTGGTGTTTGATCTTTGGATTTTAGCTCCTTTTTATACCACAAGAATATTACCTTGAGGTTTTGATGTGATCTTTCATGTTGGAGGAAGGAGGCCCCGGCAGGGGGACTGTTGAATATCGGTTCATGTTTAGGTATCCGCAGTAAGTCGCAGGGTTTCCTTGATGTTTCCGTACACATTGGGCTTCACTTCATCTTGACTGTACTGCAATTATTTCCTGTGTTTGGATTAAAGATTTGATTCATCCTTAATGGACCTTCTTGATGGACCTTCTTGAGGAGACCGTATGCCGAAGGAAAATGAGTTTGACATCGTAAGGTTCAGAGTGGATGGTATGATGAACGACTGTTGTGTGATTGGCATTGACGTTATCACCGTTTTACCCTGATGATAATTGAAGAGTTTGTTAGATCAATCGAGGACCGAGTAGGGGGGCTGTTTAGGGGTACTCAGCACTCGATACTGATCTTCGGAGATTTAGGGGGTTTCGTGTATCATTGGCGGTATGTGTTGGCAGAGGGTCGGTTCCCCTTCTGCTGTGCATGGGCTAGCATGCCCGGCGCACTCGTCAACCTTTCTTCTGCGCTTCTGAGAACAAGCTGCCCGCCATGAACAAACTCGACCCACTCTATTTTCGAGTAGTGCGACGAAAACCACTTGTGTGAGTGTTTAACTTAGGGCGATGCAAGAGTTGTTTCTTTATGTTGAGCGTGTTTTCCGTTGATCCTCCTCGGCGCTTTCGCTCCTGTTGAATCCCAACCGTACCCTGCTCAATTCCAACCGTAGTTTGTTCAATCCCAACCGTAACATGTCCAATTCCAAGGTACTCACGACAGCTTCTTCAGCTACCTTTCGCTTTCACCCGCAAATTTTGTGAATTGCTCACCCCATGGGGATTTGAACTCACGACCTCTGCGACTACAAGCGGTTTGCGAGAATACCAAACCACTAGAAAGACCACCGGGGCGACTGGCTACCGTCCAGATAGCAGCGTAACACATGCCTCTGAAGGTAATGACACGAGTCGTTCGACTGAGGTTGCGAGTGATTCAAATATGTGCGATTGTCAGGTTAGGTCCTTCACGTTTATGAGCACAATGTATGGCACGTAAGCCGTCCATTGGCTTCTGGACAGGACTTTGGCCTCTCAGCTGACGAAAGACACACCCTGACCTCTTTCTGGGCAATCGAACGACTGTACCGAGTGCGATGAGCAGTGAAAATGCTATGGCTGCTTAGTAGTTATAGGGTCGGAGCAAAGGTCTCCTTGTGGGATCCCTTTTATGGTCTTATCCTTTAGTCAAGCTTAGGATGGGTGGCTTGGTTTGTGAGCGGGGGTGGCGAGCCCGTTCGCTCTGGCAGAGGCACGGCATACCGTGGCCAACACGTCTGTCTGCAGGGATGCACTTGCGGGACGATCAATGTCCCGAACAGTAACAATAGTTTTAACAGCGGGGGTAGCCCCGGCCTCAACTGAAGCCTTTTTCTTTCTCTTTTTTCCCGTGGCGGAAGTTGTACTGCTTGAAAACGGAAGCGGCGGTGGGAAAAATCGAGGATATGCCAATTTCCGGGGTGTTGTCGGAGGTTCGAGATCGGGGTACGGTACAGAGAGAACCCGATTGTGTGCGGAAAAGGCCAGAGGTAGAAGTCCTGTCGTGTCTGGGGTGACGGCGCGTGCACTGCGTGATGAATCTAGCGGGCTCTTGTCGAGAGCGTGTTGCACATAGGAGTGACTCAAGTTCCTTGTATCAGAGACTCACGTTCATAGTATTAGAGAGTGACAGACAGACATGAGGAAGAGGCAAAGCATGGTGGACCGAAGTCTGTCTAGACTACATATATATCATACCGTAGTCTATTTTTTTTCTTTTTTCTATCATTTTCCAATCTAGGGTTACCTCGCAGTGCGTGTAGAGGCGAGCAGAGTGGCCTAGACTATCTGTCGTTGACTTTTGTTGGCTTGCGGACCCTTCGCGTCCCATTTATTTTCGTGTATCTCTTTTGGGTAGTAGTAAGTTAGCCTGTGACTACGGGAATCGACCCCGTCAGGTGTTAGACAAGTGGTAGGACAGAAGAAGGTATTCATACACGGGCAGAGAGAACGGAACGGTTTTTAATGTGAGAAGACAACGACAACAACAACATAGTTGGCATCTGCATCTGCGTAAGCCCTTCAGAGGTCTGTAAGATCTGTACCCCGCCGAGTACAGACACAAGGAGACCGCGGGCAGTCCCGATGGGGTAATCGCCAGTGTGGGAAGGAAGATGTTGGTGGAATATCGTTTTCGAACGTACCGACGTAAGTCTGCAGAGCGATGTGATCTAGAAACAAACGGCTAACTAACCGCACGCGGGCAGTCCCGATGGGGTAATCGCCAGTGTGGGAAGGAAGATGTTGGTGGAAAATCGTTTTCGAACGTGCCGACATAAGTCTGCAGAGCGATGTGATCTAGAAGCAAACGGCTAACTAACCGCACCACCAACGAGAGGTGTTTTTTCTTCACACACACACAGCCGCACGCGAGACAGACAGAGAGCGTTCAGCTGGACACCGACAAAGAGTGTGGGCTGCAGATCTTTTCGGCTTTCTTTTTATTTCTCCGTCTCTCTCTACATAATAAGATCTTCCTGCGTTCTTGCATGGACCACGGATGGATACGTCAGATTGGTTACACCGGCCTGTCATTTGTTAGCAACCGAACCATGATTACTAGCCCCATACATGTATAGTCTATGCATAGCAAGATGCAAATGTCTGCATATTTCCGGGATCATTACATGATTTGTTGTTGCGTACATGATTCGCTTTCTGATATGTGTGTGAGAAGAGAGGAGGCCAGCAGGGCGTGTGACCTTTACACTCACCATGGTAGCTGGCAGTCAGTCGTGCTGGGTATGTATGTAGACTACAGTATTGCGTCAATTAGCAGTTGACAACCATTGAGAGAGGTACGACGACGATGGTTGGTAAGCTAACCTGACGTTGTCGTCGACAGTCTGGAAGGAGAAATATTCCGTTGTTGCAGCGTAGGTGGCTGGTCATGGTCGACCCCGCACAACATGATCTACTCGATCACCATTATGGTTACCGCCAAAAATAAACGGAGGTAAAAAAAAAAAACGGCAACCTGGTTGCCGAGCTCACGAAGTGAATTGGCTTGTTTTACAACGTCGTTGCCAAGCGACGAAAACCCAATCCCGATGGCAAACACCGTGGGGGGCGGCTTGTTTTACAACGTCGTTGCCAAGCGACGAAACCCCAACCCCGATGGCAAACACCGAGGGGGGGGGGGCGCTGGGGGGAAGACGAAATCACCCGAACGCGCTGTATGTTTTTATTATTGGCATCGACCGCGCTAACCGGCTGACCAATTAATAGACGTCAGTGCCAGCGGGTAAAAATCAAGGTCCGTGTTTTCGTCCTATTTGTTATGGTGACAGTCCCCGCAGTTTTCGTGGTGAGATGTGTACCAAACTGTTCAGCGTATGTATGTAGAATACTACACTTTTCAGTGTATTTTTCGTACAACTATAACCATCCAGGGTCACACAGAGAATGCAGACGGTGGAAGCGTACAGTAGTAGTCTTTTCAGCTATTCGAGAAAAACTCCAATCCCAAAGCCGACATCAATCGCCGGCATGTAGATATGTATCGTTGACGATGATTTGCCGTACAAGAGGCTGGAAACCTGGCACAGAGAGTTTCTGTATTGATTGGCACACCTCCCGTTGGTCTAAACTCCTCTCCATGAACAGAGCCGACTGCTGCTGAAAATCGACGTTGGATTCAGACAACCCGGACTTTCTTGCTGCTTGCAGATCAGTACACGGATAACAACATATTCGCCTGATTGAGAGCGTAGCATCTGATTGAGAGCGAGATTGCGCGATACGCTGTAGCCGGACTACCACTGAGAGGTGGAGCTTGCTGTGTAGCTTGAATTGAAGGGCTAGCCCGTAGCTTCAAGCCGCTACCCTGGTCATCCTGTGGGAGTCTCTCGTTGTGGAGCTACAGCGGGGAGCAGAAGCTACAGCAGAGCCCACCGCCCGACGCGATACCGCCCTGAAACAGTTTGAGCAGAAATAGCCAATCTGGGCAAATCTAGCAACTTGTCTAGCTCCTCGCTGCAGCATCCGATGACGATGACACGCATATGCTCGCGAAGCTGCTGATGAGACCTTCAATTTGCACCGCTTCTTGGAATAGCCCGTCCCCTACTTGCCAAGAAATGGCAAGAGGCGTCTGGACCCGAAATTTCAATTTTTTTGGCTCTCGCTCTCAATCAGATACTTCGCTCTCAATCAGGCGAATATGTTGTTGGATATGAAAATAATAGTCTATAGAGTGGGCGATTAGGTCTTGTTTCCAATGGATGACACATACATTTGTGCAGCTCGACGGCTCAATTTCATTTCAGAAAAGGAAGAGGTGCCATAACATCCCCCCTTACTAATGAGAGCTCTTTTCTCCCCCTCTCAGTCAACAGGCCCGGAAACTCACACTGACTGCTGCTGTTGTTCAAACACGCACGACGGAGAGTAGAGTAGCAGCTACACACATAGTCTATAGACTGGGCGCTAAGAACATGAACAAAGAGTTCGGTCCCGATACGTTGGTTACCTCCCTAATCGTCCACCATCATCATAAATGACCAGTGCCTTGCAATGGAGGAGCATATCCCTTCGAAGAACTTCAAGCGCCGATCCAACAGAGGAGGCCGGGAGCATGCCGCGCGTGTGCACAGGCCTGCGCAATGCGCAATGACTCATCTCGTGCTCTGCAGCTGAACTCTGAAAAACTCACAACACACCTCGAAGTACGTCGTGTTTGACGTGGGGGTGTTGCTCTGCGTGTGGTGTGTGTGCTTTCTGCTCTGTCTGCCTTTGTATGGTTCTCAGTCAGTACTTGGTGCAGTATTTGTTGTGCATCCACCCGGTATAATTGATGTCGGCGGCGTAATGTATGTTGTATGTATCCCGTCGGAACAGCAGTACAATGGAGGCTAATGGGTGGAACGGTCCGTAGTAAATTGTGCACAAGAACCCTTCGGTACTGATCGTCGGTGCACGTTCCTGAGGAGGAGTGGATGTCATCTGCTCTGCCCCCCCCTGCCTCGCAAAAACGCCCCACAAGCTAACGCTCCACGCATGGTTTTCGGGAGAAAGATGCAGTCGATTGCGGTGCAAACCAGCCACCTGCATTGTCCACCTGAACGTGGCTCTTCGCGTCGTGTGGGGTGCGTCGTTGTTGCCGACCTGTGGGGGTCCTGAAGTAAGAAGAGCGGGGGGTTGGTTGTTCGGTGAATCAATCAAACGGGGGAGATCTACGAACATGACATACAACAATGGACGCGTTCTCAACAACAGAAACGAGCCGTTGCACCAAACTTGCTGGAGGGGCGGACGGGGTCAGGAGGGACACCTCTTCCAACCCACACGAAAATCTGTTGATGGGATCTCGAGAAACATCGCCCGAAGAAAAACAACTTACTTTTAGACAAGAAACCGGAGATCGCCTGGTCTAAAACCAAGTGAAAAAAGGGAGTGGGTCACTTTTGGTGGGGTTAAAATTGAATTCGGGTCTGAGAATTTCCGCAAAACAGAAAACTGAAGCAACTGAGAATTTCCGCAACAGAAAACTGAAGCACTGAAGCGCACTTATGAAGCAAAAGCAAAACTGAAGCAAATAGGATTCAGAACACACAGTGCCTCTAGAGGGATGGTTAGACAACAAACTCTAGAAGGAATATTAATGATATGTCAGAGATATTTCGCTGTGCACTAGCAGCAGTACGATGCTGCAGATGCCATGTAGTCGAACGGTGGGACGGACGTGCAGTTCAGTTTTTGGGCACGCATACGGTGCTGCAGGGATTCTTAGGTGTACCTCTGCGGACTCTTGGATACCTTTTTCTCGTTGTATGTGTGCATGTTCTTTAGATCCTCAGATGGCTCTAGCACGTTCGTGACCACGGGCTGAGAGTCTTTTGCTAGATTTTGGCATTTAGCAACTGACATACGGTTTAATGTGAAGACAAACAAACAAACAACAAACTCTCTGTGCTTACGTATCAGCACCAAAGCGAGCTAGCTCGCGCGTCTAGCGAGGTCGACTCTTTGTCGGGGCCTACGAGTCAATAAGCGTTGGTGGTTTGGTTGTGTGGTTACTGCTGTGACTGCTGTGGGGTATGTTGAACGGAACATGGTGTGTTGTGCAGATACGTGCGGTACACGGTTTTTTCGGCGGGTTTTCGAGTCGTCGGGCGACGGCATTACTGTACGTGACACAAGATGACACACCGCCTGGCACAATTTTCAAAGCTTGATTACGCCATGACGAAGAGACTGCATTAATGAAACAATACGTTTTCGGAAAGCTCTCGACGAGACAGCTTCAACGCCACCGTCTTCGGCGCTGTGTTCTCTTTCTGTTGTTGAGAAATCGAAACTTGAAAATCGGTCCAGGGGGTGTGTTATCTTGTGTCATTTTTTGGTATTTATCCACTTCTGGGTACAAAATCGACCGGGTACACCAGTGACCGGCATCGGTTACACGGGAGGGTGTTGAGATGCCGCTGGCACCTCGGGGGTGCATGCGTTTGGCTCTCGAAGTGTACCCTAACATTGTGATAGACCACCCGGGTAACCCGTTTCTGGGTACAGGCTACAGCATTAGTACCTCTCTTCGCACATGTGCTCGTTCGCACGTGCCCAAAAGCCCCAAAGTACTACGGCGCGTCGCGATGCTTGAGGGCCCAACAATATTTTCGCTCGTGTCAGCGTATATTTCGCTGTACACTAGCAGCAGTACGATGCTGCAGATGCCAGGAGGCTGTGTAGCCTACCTCAGAGGTTCACACTCTGTGCGTCTCCAACCGCGAGAGACTTGGAATGGAAATATGAAGATGCTTTTATTAGCTGCTGACTCCCGAGTCAGATGTTGCTGGTACTGAAGAGGAGTGAGAGGAGTGGGCGAGCTTAGGGCTGCACCACTCTTGTCGAATACTGGACAAATAAGCCAATCACACGAAAGATCCAGAATGCGTCCAGAATGGTTTCTGGAAGCCCTCCTACGTTCTAGAAGAGTATCAACTGCAACCTAGATCTAGAACGCTTCCAGAAGCTTCCAGAAGGAACCAGAAGTTTCCAGAAAGACTTCCAGAGGCTACAGGAGGAACCAGAAGTTTCCAGAAGGCTTCCAGAAGCTACACACGTTCTACATAGATGTCCCGGTCAACCTTGACCTAGCATGCTTCCGGAATATTTCTAGAACAAGAGAATACATGCCAAGGAGAGATGGATTCTTTTCTACTGCTACGCAGACTAGTTGCTGCAATCGTATTCAAAGGTCAAACCGTGTCCGACTACTGGTGGTCTCGACGCACGATTTTCCTGACACGACCCCTCGATCAAGCAACTAATTCACCATGGTCGACGGCATCACCATATCCTTGTCTACCTCGACCCCTCCGTTGGCACCGTATCGAAAATAAATTCCTTCTGGTATGGAAGGGAGCTTCACAGATCTTCGATCAACACGAGAAGTCCTTAATCTGCTGAATGATGGAGGCGAATCGGTGCTTTGGGAGGTACTTGGTCGCGATATCAGCCAACTGGTGCTCGCTGGGCCGGTGGTGAAGAGTGATTTGTCCCCGTAGTACTAGCTCCCGGATGAAAAAGTACCTCAGGGCCACGTGCTTCGTGCGTTGAGAGTGCATGGCATTCCCGGCCACTGTCAGCGCTCCGGTGCTGTCGCTGTTGATGGGAACCGATCCGAAGGTCTTGAAGTTGAGTTCCGTCATAAAATTTGAGATGTAGACCGCCTCTCTGGCTGAGTAGCTAAGTGCTTGAATCTCGGCTTCGACCGTGCTTTGCGCGGTTAGAGTTTGAGTCTTCGCACCGTAGCTGATGAGTCCTCCAGCCAGAAAGAAGAGATATCCCGTGGTAGATCTTCCGTTGTCGGGGTTTGCTCCGAAGGATGAATCCGTAAACGCCGCTAGCCGAAACTGTCCTCTCTTGTAGACGATAGGAAGAACTGGATTACCCCGAAGGTATCGCAGAACGTGCTTGGCTGCTGTCATGTTCACCTGCGCTGGGTTGCTGCAGGCCTTGGAAAGTTGTAGGGCAGCGTAGGAGAGGTCGAATCGCGTGCACTGGGCCAGGTAGAGGATGCTTCCCGCCATCGACTGGTAGATTTTCTTGTCCGTGGGTCCTAGGATTTGGTCCTGAGGTTGATTCGTGGAGATTTCCGCTCCGTATCCAGGAGTGCTCACTGGGTTGGCCTCTTGCATTCCGAACCGCTCCAGAAGTGTGTTCACGTAGTGCTCCTGTGAAATGGCCAGGGTTCCTTGCTCGTAGTCTCGCTGCACGTCGATCCCGAGGATCCGCTTTACCTCTCCCATGTCGGTCATCTCGAATCGATCCGTGAGCTCCTTCTTCTTCTGGTCCACGAGCTGCTGGTCTCCTCCTGTGATGAGAATGTCGTCTACGTAGACCGTGAGAATCACGATGATGTTGCCGCTGGTATACACGTACACGCAGGGGTCGGATTGAGTCCTTTTCCATCCCAACACCGTGAGGGATTCGTCCAGGGTGTCGTTCCAGAGCGCATGCGACTGCGATAGGCCGTAGAGGCTCCGTTCTAGTTTGTACACCATGGGTTCTCCCGTCGCGGAGTTCTTGGCGGATGTACCGGGGGCGGGTCTGACGTACACATCTCTGTCGCAGAGGGCGTTCAGGAAGGCACCGACAACGTCCAGTTGGTAGATGGGCCAGTTGTTGTGGCAGCCAATGGCGCACGTCATCCGAATGCTCCCGATACGGCATACTGGTGCGTAGCTGCGTCCGTAGTCCTGTCCTGGCTCTTGACGATGTCCTCCGACTACCAGGCGAGCTTTGAAGCGTCCGTCCAGCGTTTTCTTGAAGACGAATTTCGTTCCGAGGATCTTCTCTCCCTCGGGAACGCTGCTGAGGGGCACCAGAATGTAGACGTTGTGTTTCCGCAGATTGTACATTTCCTTGCTGCACGCTCCTTTCCATTCTTCGCGCTGGGGAGAGCTCATGGCTTCGTCGTAGGTGTTGGGGATTTTGATCGCTTGATTCGTCTCCTCCAAGATCCCGTGGTGTTCGTGAGTGGTCGTGACGTAGGCGTGAGCACGCGGCACCGTGAAGGGGTCTTCCGCAACGTGGGCGAAATCCTCAGTATCGCCAGGGCATGGGAGCTGGGCTTGATCGGCTATCTCAGCCAGCTGAGTGAAGGAAAGACCGGATGGCTCCACGCGGCCCGTTGTAGCATGGGCTCGACCGCGGTCGTTCATGGTGACTTCCAGATTGGCAGGAACCAAGTTGACGTCGATATGATCGTCGCTGGTGGGCTTCCCGCGCGTGCTGGCTCTGGTGACTTGCAGGCGCCGCATGCCGGAGGATCCAGTTGATGCAGAAGTGTCCGGTTCAGTCGGGTTCGACGATGATGGACTGGGGCTAGATGCGTGGGTCTCGGATGACGATCCAGCTGGCGTCGATGGGAGATGTGGTGATGGAGCGTCCCCGTCGCCGAGATCTTGCCCGTTTCCATGTTCGTCCTCGTGCCCGTCCAGTTCTAGGCGAAGCTTCTCCCGAGCGAGATTGTCTTGCTGCATCTTCCGGACTTCTTGCCGAAGGAGTTCGTTCTGCGCCGTGAAGTCCAGGTCGCTCGTCGAGTGGGGGCTGTCCAGTAGGGAGGTGAAGCTCAGCACGTCGCTCTTGTACCCGTTTGCTTCAGTGGAATACTGGAAGGGCACTGAGCGGGGTGGAGATTCGATGAAAGTCACATTCCGGC